GGGGGGGGGGGGCGCTGGCAGTTCGTGGTGAAGTCTCTGAGTGAATGGGAAACCACCAGTCATAAAAAATAAAATAAAATAAAATAAATAAAATAAAATTTCTGGAATTGATATTTTAAATATAACATTTTAAATTCGTGAAATTGATAGACTTATAATCGCACAAAATTACTATATAAATAAATACTAAATAAATTAAGTTAGCATAAAAATATATTTTGATGTATTTGACTGCACACGTTAGAAAAATTTTATACTAAAATATATAAATTTAGGTAAACATTTATTTCAAGCATAATTAACGTATATTACTATAAATTGGAAAAAATTAACTAATTAATAATTTATCAAGTGTCTTAATTGAAATCAATTAAGTTTTATAACTTTGAAATAAATAAAATTACATCCACTTTGTATTAAATTATTTTAGAGACTTAATTTCATTTACAAAATAAATATTATTTTAAATCTAACCACAATTTTATAACTTTAAGACGAGATATGGAAAAAAATTATGCTAATAAGATATTAGTTCAAATAGAGAAATTTAATAGGAATTCTATGTATTTCTTAGATTTGCAAATGTTAAAATTTTTATACTTATGTAGAAAAAACTCTAAACAATATTTATATGAGTTTTCCATATCATTAAAAATAAAAAAAGGATAAAAAGTAAATTATTGTATTATGCTACATTTTTATATTAATAAATATTTTTCTATAATTTATATGATTGATCATTATCATCCCGTGCATCACACGGGCTTCTTACTAGTTTGTAAAAGAAGGGTAATATTTCCATGTCTCCGTAACCTGGAAATTGTTCATTTTAAAGCTTCATGTGGTAATGTATTCCATATAAAATAATGGGAAAATAGAAAATAGGCTGATCCGGACAAGCATTATGTGTGAGTTGAAAGTCCATGGATGGAAAGTTCAAGTATATAAATGATAAATCTAATGAAGTAAACAATTTGTTACTCCCGAAGTGCTACTTGGTGTGATCCTTCACTACATTGCTAAGTTTTCGGATTAACTTAATCAGTTGCATTACATATGCAAACTTGATGGGTTCCTTTTTTTTTACTGAACCAGTCTTGTTAAATTCCTATATGCTGTCTCATCTATTACAGAGATATAAAATGTGCAAATATATTGGTGGATACAAACGGTTTGGTGAAACTTGCAGATTTTGGTCTTGCCAAGGTTCAATCCCCTTATTCTTTATATTTCTCCTTTCTTATTCACTGTGCTTTTCATGACTTTGAAATTGTTGTAATTTTTATGTGATGGCATAGGCAGTTAAGTTGAACGATGCGAAGTCTTGCAAGGGAACTGCATTCTGGATGGCACCTGAGGTTTGCTCTATACCATTCTCTTTTTTAATTGATAAAGATGGTGAATAACGTTGCAAACCTAATAGGATGTCTTATTTATTGGCAGTGAGGTTAAGCTGCAGTTTGGAAGGCGATTGAACTTCTTTTGTCTTCCATCACTTTGTGTGTATGTGTGTATTCCATTGCTTTTATGTGTGTGTATATATGCAGTTTCTTTGATTTTCTGTGAAACGTAGTCCAGGCTGTTTTCACGTAGTGAGATTCATACAAAATCCATGAATTTGTAAAATGGATAACGAATTCATTTTTCAAAATTTTTGGATCAAAATCTTGCTTCTAATGAAACTATTTGATGCAAAGGCCTTGTGACTTTGAACCAATAAATTGTGGATGGGCCTCCGCGTATTATTTGATCATCCTCACGTTCCATCGACAGCTAACACTTTATTCTGCATCAAAGCTAATGGATGAGGGTAATGCGTAAATAATAAATTTTTATGGTGCAAAAATGAGCAGTGATCAATCTATATGCAGGTTGTTCGAAGCCAGAGTTATGGCCTTGCAGCTGATATATGGAGTCTTGGTTGTACGGTCTTGGAGATGTTAACCAAACGTTTTCCTTATTTTGGTCTGGAATGGGTAAGAAACGAAACTTGGAATTTGAACTTCCTCTATGTTCTGTTAGTACCTGCTTTGTTATGTAAGAATGAATTCTTATATGGTGATTAGCCATGGTGAGTTTATGATCCACATTGTATATTTATATGGTTAATTTGGGGAAATTATGTTCTGAATCATGACCTCAGTTCACTAAATAGTGGCCACCCACATTTACCAGGCTGGTAAAACTAATTAGAACCTTATTGTACACTGTTAGGAATCGGCTAATTACATCTCTATTTAGACAAATTATTGTTATCGACCGTGCTAATTTGTATCTTTTAACTGGTAAAAGCATCAACTAGGTAGGAGACCACGTTACAGGAAAAAAAAATCATGAGAAATGAAAATGATAGGAGAGACCATAATTTCCCCATTCAAAAATATCGCCACTTCACCAATCATAACTTAAAACCTGTCAACAATCATAAAATGCAACTCGATTTCCACCTCATTCAAAAATATCGCCACTTCACCAATCATAACTTAAAACCTGTCAACAATCAGATATATGTGTATGGCTTACAAGAAAAGGCTTCAAGTTCAAATGGGCTACTAGCGGAAAATGTATTTTTTTAGGGTCAAGAACAAGGCAAAACGGGCTAACAAACAAAACGCCTCAATCATTTTCGCAATTTCAAACTTAAACTTATTCTTTTCAAATAGAATCAAGGCAAGTTCTAATCATTCGAGAATACGACCAATATCTCTCAAAGAAAAGTAAGGATCAAAATCTCACAAGGTAATAAATGTCACTTAAAGCAATCAAGTAAATATCGAGGCAATGGTAAATACGTCCGTCATCACAACTTCCCAATTTCATCAAACATTTATCAACAACTCATATAATTAATCAATACCACATGCTCGACAACACAACGACCTACCACATAAACATGCAAAAATCCACAGCGGAGTCGTCAACTCCCCCACACTTAAAATAATGCAATGTCCCCATTGCATCAACACATAAATGAAATAAGAACAAAAACTGGGAATTAAAACAAGAAAAAGAAAAGAGTGTGCAAACCGAAGTAGTCTCGAGGGAAATAAGCATTCACGTTCCAGCCTTCCGCCCCCAATTAACCGGTCCTCGATATGTCCTACCAAGAAAACAAAACTCCACAAACTCTCATAATTCAAAAATAAAATAAAAGGCACAAACAAAACACACAAGAAAGCAGTAAATAAAACTTGAGTTGCCTCCGAAGAAGCGCTTGTTTAACGTCTTTAGCTTAACGAAACCTGTACAAATTAACCAGGATCCAAAAAGAAGTGTCGATCATGCCACGCCTTTGTATTCTCCAACAATAGTCCCGTTGGTAGTACGGAACAAAGTTGGGCAAAGTAGACTCTTGTGGCCGTGTTCTTGTGACTTCGTGCATGGATGCACTAAACTCCTCCAAATCTTCACCATCCTCGATAACATGCAATGACGACCCAAAGGACATGGGAACCACTGCGTACTCAACATCATGAGTCGAGTCATTCATCAATACACACTCCGGGTCAATGACCTCATATAATGACTCGACGTCCTCCTCGACCTCATCCACGACATCATGAACTATCTTCTCCTCACAATCATCATCTCGAGCCCCTTCAGCTTCACCGGCACAATCGGATCCTCCAATGAATTATTCCCTACACCATGCACCGTATCATCCTCTGAATCCACACACTCGCTCTCATCGATAGCAATCGCCCAATCACCGCAATGTAGGTTTGACGTGGTTTGCGATCCCGGGTCGTCATGAGAGGAGATTCTTCTAACATACAAATCACCGATGTCCTCTCTCGTGTCGAGGGATTGTGTTCCTTCACAAACGAGAGTGAGGCCCGCCTCTTTGAGAGAAGCAAACTGTTCCACCATAGCTCGAAATTCACCCTCTAACCATGCATTTTCTCGACACACTTTCGCCGATAGAGAAGAATATCTACCAAGCGGAATATGAGATGTGTCCAAGTCGAGGAAAGCAACTACAGTAGAGTCGAACTTCGTGAGTTGAGTTTGAAGTACGGATGGAACGAGAATGATCCTCCAATTATGAAACTCCTCGATGATTGATAGGAGGCTCGCAAGTACCTCTTGAGTAATCGTCAAAACCTCTTGGTGATAGTCGGGAGATGAAGGTTGGTAATAAGGCGTCTCGTAGTGATTTGGAGTGTAAGAATCGTATCCGCCTTGAGATGTCGTGTAAGAATGGCTCGGGTCATACTCTTGGGATGTAGAGTATCCATCATAGCAATAGGAATTTGAATAGCTCGGATACGGATAGGGCGGTTCTCCATATGAGTGCATCTTCTCTTGGTAGTTGTCGGGGTATCCACGAGACAAGTTTCCGGCATAAGAATAGCCGTACGGGTCCATCGGAACTCCTCAAGTAAAACACTTCGCACAAGAAAGGCAAACAACCAAGGCACACGAGACCAAGAAATATATATATAATTTTTTATTTTTTTTTACGATTTTTTCAAACAAAATAAAAACAAGAGAAATGGAAAATAACAAATCAAGAAAAACACTAAAATTAAACAAATATCACAAGAACAAGAGAAATACGGAAAATAAGATAAACGCCAAAACCGAATATCCTACTTGCCTTCCCCGGCAACGGCGCCAAATTTGTTGTAGCAAATTATTTTTATTTTACCGAGCACCGAATCGAATGATTCGTTTCCCGGGTCAATCTCTCGAGGAAGACTGTTCGGAATTTAGAATTGGTGTTGATAACACATAAAAGCAAAATAAATCCTACACATTCTAATCATGATAGGGTTGGAAAATGATTAACTAAAATAATAACATAAAACGATAATCTATCAAAAAATATAAACGAAGACAATTCCCACTTATGATTTATTTTGCAATGACTATTAATAAGAGTCAAGGAAAAACATTGTCTAAGTGCTGTGGGTCTCTTTAAAAAAAATCACATGCCATGTAAGAAATAGACCTAATATATAAAAGAGAAAATTATACCCTACACGATGCAAAACAATTTTTATTGCACTTATACGACTCAAATATTTTATTAGCATGTATACAACAAATCATGAATTTATTTGTCTCATGCGTTTTGCCTTTTTTTTAGGAAAGTGGCGGATTGTAAGGATTTGCAGTTAATATGGACTCTAAAACAACCGTCACTCAATTTATTATTCTTTTAGCAATTGTCGATCCCTATTTTCTTCGTCTTTCTTCTACACACCAAATTCTCCTTCCGCGGCCCCGACGGCGTCTGCCACGTCGCCACCCCGCCTCTTTCTCCTTCCCCGACATCTGTCGACTCGCCGCCGTCGGCCTCCTCCCCGTCTCCATCCGACGCCTTACCTCCGTCGGGCATCAGACTTGCGCCCCAATCAAATGGCGACTTCTTGAACGGACTGGGGATGAGAGAGCAATGAACATACTGTATATAACATGATTATGTTATGTATATGTGCACGAATGATATACTTATAGTATATGGGGCTGTAACTCTGTAGTGTTTTCAAGACTGTATATGTGTTATTTATATTTTGTATATGTTGTGTATATAGGTAGTATATTTTCAGTATATGTTTTCGTAGACACAATCACGTATATGTATATGTATATATATATATGGTTATGTTGAGTATATAACCAGTGTTTTGCGCTTTTCTTTTTCATAACATATATACCAGATTAAGATTAAGTTACGAGAATGAGAGAGAGGGAGAGGGAGAAGAGATGAGAGAGAGAGAGAGAGAATAAATGAGAGAGAGAGAGAGAGAATAAATGAGAGAGAGAGCATTTTTAGGGATAACATGGTCAACTTTATGTTGTATTATCTAGAGTTAAAAGTAGGAGAGACTTGAAAATTATGTGTTGCGATAAGAATGGAAAAATTGTAAACAAAACTATTAATGTAGTGTACAAAGAAATTTTTCAAAATTTAAAATAACATCGACTTTGGTATTTTCTATTTTTGCACTTTTATACGACAACATGTGTTTTTTCTATTATTTTATGTTTTATATATTTTTTTTCAAACAACTCGTGTAGTACACGAGTGTCGTACTAATTAATCTTTTAAACAAGGATAAATTCACAGCAATTAGTATTTAGTATTTCTAGAACAATTTCAGGAATTTTAAATCCATACTATGGCATTCAATATATATATAACGTTAGATTCATTTGAAAATTCCATCTACAATGCACATATTTAGCAATTCAAGTGAAGTGTATCCATCCCTAAAAAACTCGAAAACAAATGTAAGAAAAATAACCCCCAAGAATAATATATATTAAATATTGAAACGGGAAATACACAAGTCTTAGAACACGGATACTATTCTGGCAGTGAGCACCAGAAAAACCAGTCTTGTAATGGCCAAAAAAAAAGAAGAAAAAAAGCAGCAGAAGAAAGAAAAAAAGCTATAAAGACTTGGAGGCAGGAAGTGTCGTAGGCCAGGTGGGAAGCATCATAGGAGTGCACACAAGACGCTCATCCATATACCACGCAAACTCACTAAGATTAATGTATTCTTGAAGCACACCTAATATCTCAACGGTTCCATCCGTTAATTTATATTCAACAATATTTCTACCCCACACCAAAATGAGTGCTTCATTATTCAATGGATGAGTAAAACCACCCACAAACTCCTCCGCCGCCGCCTCCTCGTTGATGGGATCTTTCAAATTTTTTCTGTCCTCAACTAGAATCCACTTACTACAATTATTTAATCTCCACACCTTAAGATTAATCATTCCTTTCACTATGGTGGAAACAAATTGTAGCAACCACAATTCACCACTCACAACCCCAATCTGACTTTTGACGTGATCACCCTTAATTCCACTTCTCTTCTGACTTTTCCGTACATCCGTTGCACTCATCGGGTGCCACCAATAATCGTCAGGAAAGTCTACAATACCGACTTTACTTTCATTTCGCAAGTCTAATGAAAGAACCCTATCCATATTATAGTCTTGCTCCAACCAATACACGACTCCAGAGATTGGGCACGTAATCATTTCTACCCAATAAACCCACCATCGGTCACGGGTCGTCGGATACTCCAAGCATTTACTTTCCCACGTTCCTGTCTTGGAAGAAAATATCCTCACTTCGCTATAAACACGGTGGGAAGATATTTCATCTTCTTCCACAATTGGAAGCGGCATATGAGACTTATCAAGAACAACGACCTTAAATTCGTTGTCAGGCATGCATATTAATGCCTGACCAACAGTATACAAATCCCGAACAGTTGGAGCTATCTTCGGGAGCCGATGAAATTGTCTTGTTATTGGATTGCAAATGTAGTAGAGATGTTTCCAACAGCTGAGATGAGGGGAGACAAGCAATAAATCATTGCAGGATGCTCTTATGGCCATTGGCGAAGGCAAGAAGTCCAAATAATTAGTAGCAGTATTTGATGTTTGACGAAGAAACATTGAGTCCTGTGAAGAAAGCTTGCAAATTGGTTGAAAATGTGGGAGAGTAAAGCGCTCGTTAAGATAACCCAAATAATAGGCTCTATGAAATATGATTGTGCATGGTTGTGGATAGCGGTCCTTGTGTTCATTATGATGTGATATGAATCTACTAATAGAACGTGGCCTCGAAATTAAAGACTGCCACTTGTGACAGACAGCGGCAAAGAGAATGGCAGACCGATAGTTCGGGAGGCGAACAAATATCTCCAACAGTATGTCTTCATCTACTTCTTCAAGAAAACGGGATACTGCCACATGCAAGATGGAGAAATATGTAGTTAGAATGCAAGTAAAATGGCATAATATTTATTAATATAGGCATGTGCTTACGTGGTTTTAAATCGTGATGCTCGTTCTTAATGCGCCTAACCAATCTCTTTCGCTTCCTCTGCCAGTTAAACAAGCATGAGTAATATACACTAAAGCAGGCGTTGTATGAGTTATATAAACAAAATATTACACTAAAGCAGGCGTTCTGGTAAACAAGGCTGAAGAGATAATTTCTATTATGTGGACTCATCAGGCGTTGGAGCATCGACTTATCCTTTAACCCATCTGACTTTTTCTATTTTCCTTGATTAATGAAAGATCATCCCAAAACGGAAGAACTTCATATATTGAGTCATGGCATTATCAAAAGTTTCTATTACACAAATAATAACTTTAGTACTTTTTGTATTTCAATTCTTTTTGGAAGAATCTAATCTTCAGTTTAACAGAAACTTTCTATTAAGCCATGACACTTTTACAAGTTTCTATTACATCTCTGAATAGTAGAAAAAAAAAAATGTTGTGCTACAACTCTTTAATGAACTCAGGAAATACCATCACTGAAAGGCATGTTATCAAAAAGAGGAAAAAACATGGATTTTCTAACTCATAAAAGCTGTAAAAAACACATAGGCACAAGTAGCAAGTAGGGCTGTTAACGAATCAAACGTTCGTGAACAAAAGGTTGTTCGCTCGTTCATGTTCGACAAGAGCTCGTTCGTTTTTTAATCAAGCCGAGTTCGACCAGAAATTTAGGCTCATTTAATAATAGAACGACCAGGAGCTCGTTATTTATTTTAGTTTTTTATTTTCGAGGCCAAACAAACAATTTACGAGTTAATCAATCATATTTTAAAAGTTAAATTATCCGTTGCTCGAAAAATAAACGAACAAATACAAAGTGCTTGAATGCAAACGAACACGAGCTCAAAATGCCCAAACTCGGCTTGTTCAGTTCGATTACAGCACTAGGGACAAGGACAAGAGCACTATTACATCAATATCGAAGGGATCTTAGTATTAGTACCAGAAACTGACTCAGAAGCCCCTATGGACCAACCCATTTAACCGACCGTAGGGCAGAATAAAACAAACATACACAAAGTTGCAGTATGATTGAAATCAAAACAAACAAACACAAAGGAAGGAATCAAACCTGAATTGAGTATGATATCATCTCATTATCTGCGAATGAAGGAAGGGAAAAGTCAGACTCAAAAGAAACTCGACGGAACCCACAAACAACAAAAACAAAGATTGCGAAAAACAAAAGTGTAAACCTAAATCGAGAGAGAGAGAGAGAGAACCCAGAGGGGCGATGGCGATTTGGGACGGTTTGTTGAACTAGGTCTAGGATAATTGTTGATATTTGGAAAAGGGCTGTGAACTTGTGGGCTGCGTGCCCACCTCTTACCACTCGTGTATTTTCTTTCCTGTTAGGACGAGGAAATGAGTTGTGAAGTAACCTCACAAAGTCAACTAGTTAGAATCCGTGTAAGAATTATTAATTACTACTAGTATGAGACCTGTGCATTTGCACAGATATAAATAAATTATTGTGAGTCTGTATGCATATAATGATTAATTATTTTTCTTTCACTTTTTTGCAGACCAAATTTATTTAAAAGAGTTGGAATATTTTTTTTTTAAATTACGTTTATCTAATTGGATGTAATATTTATTTTGGCACGTCTTTTATTTGTGAATTATTTATTATTTATTTACAAATTTCAAATATATTTTTTATTTTCAAAAAAAAAAAATTAAATGTAACAACAATAATAACATTTAATCACATTATACGGTCAACACATTATATGGTCAACTGTCATTAATCAAAAGTTTAAAATAATTTTTGTAATTTTAAAATGATGAGTATTAATTATTTAATGATTAAATAAAAGATTAAATACATCAAAATGTAACGGTTTTTGGAGGGAAAATTGTTAAATTGCCACATAGGTAAAATTAAATAGGTTTTATTAAATGTTTTGAGCTAGTAATTATATATATATAGATATATTTTTTATTTTCAAAAAAAAAATTAAATGTAACAACAATAATAACATCTAATCACATTATACGGTCAACACATTATATGGTCAACTGTCATTAATCAAAAGTTTAAAATAATTTTTGTAATTTTAAAGTCATGAGTATTAATTATTTAATGATTAAATGAAAGATAAAATAGATCAAAATGTAACGGTTTTGGAGGGAAAATTGTTAAATTGCCACATAGGTAAAATTAAATAGGTTTTATTAAATGTTTTGAGCTAGTAATTATATATATATAGATATATTTTTTATTTTCAAATTAAAAAATTAAATGTAACAACAATAATAACATCTAATCACAGTATACGATCAACACATTATATGGTCAACTGTCATTAATCAAAAGTTTAAAATAATTTTTGTAATTTTAAAGTGATGAGTATTAATTATTTAATGATTAAATGAAAGATTAAATACATCAAAATGTAACGGTTTTTGGAGGGAAAATTGTTAAATTGCCACATAGGTAAAATTAAATAGGTTTTATTAAATGTTTTGAGCTAGTAATTATATATATATAGATAT